TAAATAAATTTGTTAAAAATTTAAAAAATAAACAATTTAGATTTTCATTACAAATCGGCAATTTCATACTTTAACCCCTATTATTATGTATTTATTGTAAGGTAATAAAGATAATATCTCTCAGTATGGGGGCTATTCCTTTCGGTGGTGTGGGAAAAACAGCAAAACATCTAATTACAAAACAAACGGAATCACAATTAAATATTAAATATGTAATTTTTCAATTTACATCCTTAATAGCATAGCACAAGTTAAACTGGTCGATTTTATGTGAAGCAATTGACACCCGTCAATTGTTTCGAATTCGGGCTGGTCATCGGAGCGCAGTTGTTGGCAGAATAGTTTTCAAACAAATTAAATGACATTTAGTCTCTATTTCTGCTTATATACTCGATGAGTCTCGATTACTATCCGAACCGAATGCACACTTTCATAATTTGAAACACTATGAAATCTTGATAATGATTGGTCGTAAATTTAAATTTAAAAAGGAATAACAAATTCTGGACTGTTAATATAATTTAAAGTTACCTTGTTGCGTATCTTAAAGTTCAATAACATCAATACCCGTTATTGCAAGTTACGACGTTTTGATTTTATATTGAGAATTCAATGTGGTGCCATCTACCAGTTAATAGCAGAATGAGTATGAATACAAAATGTTTATTTAGTTCTCCAAAAAAGAAGCGACGTTATTGCAAAGGTAGAAGGTTTACTTTAATTTCTAATAACAAAAAAATGATTATGATAGACAGAAAATTGAAAATTTATTAAAATAAAATAAAATTAAGACTTAATGATGATAAGAAACACCATCATAGATAACATTACAAATGCATCATTGTTACACTCCAAAGTAGCGAAATAAGGCATTTTTCTGAGCTCAAGTTTGCAGAACTCCGCGAACAGTTGGCGCACGTGTCACGCAAACTAAACACTTCTACTGTATTTGTTGTTTTGTGATACAACACAAGCGAAGTAACATAAATCAAGTTCACAAACTCTGGTCAAGGTCACGACGACAGCATTTTTGGTACGAGGAGTGAAGCAGTGGTGCCAAATTGCAATATCAATTTAGCATATTGCAAAAGTTTTACGCTTTCTAAGAAAACAACATAGTGATGTTTGCTTGATTGGTTTTGGGAATTGTTACTTTGTAACAGATATTGGAGACTACTTCGTACGTCATATAATGTTTCTGTAAATTTTGGATATATTTATCTATACAGAGTGTTTTTTTTTTAAATGGGACAGTATGGAGAAATCCGAAACCATAGACGATACAACGAAACTGTCTTAGAAACCGTTAAATCTTTTTTTGTAAAAACAGTTTTGGTGTGTTAATTTTTGTAGGTCAAGCGTAAATTGTCCATAAAAATGAATAAAATTGATAAATCTTTTTTTGTGTCGATCGACTAAATTTTTAAATTTCGTTCTATGGGACAAAAAATCGAGGCAACAGAAGTTGTTCAAATTGAATAAAACGAATAATATTTACTTTAAAAAAAAATGAACAGTTAAGTGCTACTCAGAACTTTAATTCTCAAAGTTATATCGAAAGAATTTTTCTTTATGCGACACATCTTGGTATTACTAATTGTAACTAACTACTGGAATGATATTCAATAAAAATCAATAAAACAAAGAAGTAGTTTATCTGTTTAATGCTATCAAATACATATATACTATGTCCCATCGCTAACAGAGTTACGCCCTAAGGAAACTTTGAAAAGTTTTTAAACATAATGGAGTTTAGTTAAGTTTTATCGACTACTACACAATTGAAATGAAATAATTTTTTCGGAACTAAATCTTATATATTTGTTTTCTCAAACAAACCAGCGTTTTGGGGTTCTTCACAAGTCCCAGGGTGATGGCTGTCTATTCTAACAGTCAATAAATTAATTACTTCAGTCATGTGGATATGATCACTGCAGGTTTTTCCTTCAGAGAAAATAAAGGTTCATAGTGCCCTAGAGGGAGATTGGCATGATAATGTTTTTTTTTATGATACCAGCAGGGCTAGTATATAGTATATAGCATTATCTCGCGGTAGACGTCGCTTTCGCGCGAAAATCGTCCTGCTATCCCTACAGGTGACAGGAAGAACAAATCGTGCACCAAGGGACAACTGATACGCGTCACGTCTGTCAATAGCAATTACACTCAGAGCTTTAAATTACAAAGATCTTAGAGGCACATACGTCATGTGCCTGTCATTTCACCATGTATGAGGATTTATGCGTTTTCTCAAACCGCGCTGGTAACAATGAAATAATAATTAACGTAGGAAATAAAACTATTTTTCCGGATTTAAA